TACACTCTAAAAAGTGCATGTAAAACTACTACTGAAAAGTGTTTATTTTTCAACCAGAATCTGTTCAAGTATACGCACAAGATGTTCAAGATTTGATTTTGAACATGAGTTGTTTAAAATATACACATGAAATGTTTAAAATTACAAACATTATGAAAGTAAAAATATATTTTTTTACAAATAATAAATACTAAGTGCCAGGGGCGCACGCAGGAATATATTTTTGTGGGGGAAGGATTTATACTTCTATATATATATCATCAGAAAATACTGAAAATTCGCTCTTTAAAATATATTTATGCAAGTTTTATGTACAGGATGAAATAAAAAAAATAAACTTTTTAAAGTTTCATAAATGGCATTTTATTTACATAAAATTTACAAAGAACTCAAACATTTTCAATCGGCTTCAAAAAAGGGGAGGTTATCAATTCTTTGGAGTATTTTTACTTCTTTTATTTATTCCATCGCATAACTTTGCGCCACGTGAACCGATTTTTTTTACCGGAAAGATAGTACCTTAAAGGTCGTCCCGTAATTTGGTTTAGATCCCATCATTAAATTATGAAAAATTAATGGTTAAAGATGCACTCAACTTTCAAAAGTAATGCAAAATTTTACAAAAGAATTTTAATATAAATAAATTAAATAATTTCACGAAATTTTTACACTTTTTTATTAAATTTCGTCGATTTCTGGTTTCTCATTTCTTAATACTTCGAATAATGAAAATTTAGCTGAACTTGTATTTTTATCATGTTAGCAAATTAAATCTTCGAATGCTTGTTAAGTACATATCAGTGGTAACTTTTTTAAGCTGTAAAGTGTAAAAGGCAACAGTAAGTGAGCATACATTGCATATTTTTAGGACAATGTTTTCATTCGCAGTTAAACTCTAAAGAGCTCTCAAGAAAAAAGAAAAATTCTTACAAAGTGACGCACAAGAAATGGAAAAGAAATTTTTTTCTATCAAAATTTCTTAAATCATAATAAATTTAACCCCAAAATCCACCCCTTGTGTGCGCTATGTGACAAATTTGATATGTAAAAGTAAACAGACAGTGTTTACTTTTGCACACACTAGGAGAGGAAACTGGTTACCTCTCTTTATGTGCGTAAATTTTAACGAAAATTTTTTACAGGAAATTTTAAACATTTTATGTGTATACTANGTGCGTAAATTTTAACGAAAATTTTTTACAGGAAATTTTAAACATTTTATGTGTATACTATGAAAATGTTAACAATAAATGTATAAAACTCAAAAAACAAATTTGAAATTTGTTCTACGCCCCACATATGATAAGTAAAAGTAAGAAAGCAGTGTGTAAATTTGCATTCATTAAGAGAGGAAACTGGTTACCTATCTTAATATGCGCAAATTTAAACAAAAAATTTTTAGAGTGTAATTTCGCTACCGCTCTTATTCTGTTTAAATAGGCGAAATAGCCGGGCGAACGGGGAGCGACAGGATCGCGCATTTCGGCGAATTCTTTTGTTTCAAGCATACATATGGCAATGAAACATCCGATGAGGCAACTCTTGCAGTATTCGAAAGACAGATTTACGAGCCTTTACGCGTTGGCGACGGCGAATACAACAGACGCTGGAATGATGAGCCAAATAAAAAGAAGTATAATAAATTTTCTTTTTTTTTCTATAAGTTTAATTTCAACTGGTGAGGAAACAAAAACATTAATCAATTGTTAAGAAGATATCAGTTGTACTGCGCCTGTATGTCATCCACCTGCCGCTTCACAATGCGATAGTTAACTTCGCTAGCACTCAAAGTGCCTGCCATAAATTTCTAGGTAAAAATAAGAAATATAAGTATACTTTTATAAATACTTAGAAAAAAATATAAAAAATTAAATAATACATATCTATACCTGAAAACGATTCGAGTTCATCCACAATTCTTCCTCGCCTGTGCCGTTGAACACCTTTATGCCACTGACAAACTCTAATAGACTCTCTTCTACCGACACTGCAATTTCACTCACTGTATCATTTTTCAGAGGCAACAGGCTCAACGTGATCGGATTAAATGAAACACAGTATAAATTCGATTGACTGTCTATCGCTTCGGCTCCGCATCCACTATTGCGGTTGGCTATCAGTTGGAATTCATCTGGAATTGAGTCCGCGTTGGCATCCCAAATTGTACGATTGTTCAAGGCGCTCAAAGAAATCGCATATTCGCTACCGCTGGCCAAGGGATGGAAGTAGAGTTGGCTGTCATCCGCAGACAAAGCAAACATGCCATCCATCAGCTGGAAGCTTTCGTTGGCAATCGTATGTATTCCATGTTCGGGATGTGGGTACATGAATCTATTCTCGGCACGCCAGGCGCTATCCGACGCCGCGTCATAGATAACCAGACCGTGGTACCTGACATCAGCCTTGAATGAATCACATATTAGTGTTAAGAGAACAGGATAAGCATGCGAAGTTATGGCACAGTTATGCATACTTGACATTGCTTGGTAAGACGTGAGAGTTGTGACTTAAGGAATCTAACCAAAAAATCGACTAATATATTGCAAAACCCAAGTTTGCCTATGCAATGCCAAGCTATGTATGCATAACTGATCCTTTAGTAAAATAAAAAAATAAAAATCATGTCACTGTACGACTACTTGAGCGAAAAGTACGGCTTACAATTCTTGCGTAGGTAATATGTAGTATGTATGTGTATACTTACAAAGTAAACATGATAGCTT